TTGGAATCTTCTTAAAATTTTTTTATAAATTTGATAATTCATTTAGGTTAATTCCTTGATTATCTTGATTTTTGAAGTTAATTGGGGATTAGTAAGAGTGACTTTATATGAACCAACATTGGTTATTACTTTTAAAAGTTTTATCATTAAAAAAGTACCATTTCAAGACATCACTTGTAACATCCCAAAATTTAATCCAAGATTAATTAAGTTAATCAAGGGTAAGTGAGTAATTTTGAAAGAATATTTAGAGATAAATAATTTTAGTTAGGAGATTATTATTAGATTTAATTTAGCATAAATCTAAATTTTAAATTATGATTTTTAAGAAAATAGAAATAGTAATGATAATATTATAAAAAAAAGAAGAAGGAAAAGGAACATAGAATAAATTGAAAATTGAAGAGGGAGAAGAGAAGTAATTTTTGCTTTGGGTGTTGATGTGTAAATAATGCAAAAAAAAAGGGAGATGGATGAATTACATTCACGGGTGTGCATTGAAGAGAACAAAGGAGAGAAAGTAGGATGTGAAATTATTACATGGGACGCACACTTTTTTTTTATTCAAAACAACATAGTCACCCTTCTGATCTCATTTTCTCTTCCCTTTCCTTATTTCTCTTCGCACACGACAGAGAGAACGGATACAGAGCGAGTGCGCGTCATCGATGGGAGCTGATTTAGAAGGTGATGCTTCATAATAGGATACTTCAGATGAGATTTTAAGTATTCTAAGACTAGATAAGTGTTCTAAATATTTTCTTAATCATTTTTTTCCCTAAGACTGTAGATTCTGAGATTTTGAAAAATCTAGGGTTTGAAAGAGGGATGAATTTTTGATGAGAAAATCTGGTTGTTGGGGTTGTTAGTAGTGTAATAAATATTTTAGAGTATTATTTTGTTGATAGAATTGGAATTTGAGGCATTTGAGTTTATCCCTAGATCCCTATGGGTAGATTTTGGTTAAATCTGAAAATATAAATTGATTTGTTGATATTTAGATGATTATTTGAGATGAGAAATAAATTATTATGGCTATAGAATAATGATTCTAGGCTTGAAATTAAGTTTTTAATTTTTGGGTATTTTTATGTGCAAATTTTTGGAATAAAAAGAGAAATTTTGATATTAGAAAATTATTTGAATAAAATTATTGTGAAGAAGACTATTGAACCAAGTAGATAGGTTCAAATACATGAAATTAAATTTTAGAATTCAAGAGACTAAGACTAAATTCTTAAAAAAATATATATATAAATAAAATAAATATAAAATAAAATAAAATAAATACTTAAGTATTAGAGTATGAGTGAAAATTGTGTTAATAATATTATTGACACATTGAGATATGATCAATTGTAGATTAATTTTCTTTTGACACCATTCAAGCTTTGAAAAGTTTGGAAGTGTTGTAACTTAAGGGGTAACCTTTGACCTCTCAAAGGTTGAGGTAACCGGGGGGAAAATCTCTTTTATGCATTCGTATATTAATTAATTAATTATGTTAGTGAAACAAAAGAATATATATATATATATATATATATATTTAAATTTAAAATAGTTGTTTGTAATGCATGTGACTTTGTTGAAACTCTATAACTTGTGAGTACTGAGATTGATGGTTGATGATTATGTATACACTCTTGGTTATAAGTTGTGGATCATGCACAGTGATGAAAGTTGATGAGCATATGGGATAATTTTTGAAATATATATGAGTTTTGAAATATATTTTCTCACAAGCATGATCATATGGCGGGAGTTCGCCTTAGTGAAAGAGTTAGCGATTACACAAAATCCATATGCTACTTGGCTATTAACCAATAATCCTAGGGGTTATAGCCGCTACTTACCTTGTAAGGTACTGTAGCGTTGTTCCTATTAAAGAACTTGACCCTATTGGCCTACCTGGAGTTTTGGATAGAGCTAGTTTTGGGTATGACACCTCATAGTGTGTGATTTGGGGGAAACCGTGTTCATAAGTGAGTAAGGTAACCCTGGCCTGGTAGCCCCTCATGATATGATTAAGGCTTTAGGTAGTCTCACCACATGGACGATCCCTTCCGGTTGTTGGCCCACGGATTTCATGTCAGAGGAAATAAGGGGGGATATAAGAAAGAGATTGATCATGCATATTATTATTATCATGCCATTTGAGTGATTGATGGCTATGTTGAGAATGTGATTATAATTGTGGAAATGAGAAGATGTATTAATTTTGTAAATAATGTATATATAGCCATTTGTGCAAAGTTTGTACTTGACTTTATTCTTGAGATTATTCACATAAGTTAGATGTTAATGTGATTAACATGTTATTAATATGATTGTTTACATAGTCACTTTGATAAACTTATTAGCCACTTGTATTCATGATTAATTACCATACATTTGTAAAACTTAGATGTACCTTGGGTATTGAGTGATTGTACTCATCCCTCTCTTTTAACATATTACAGGAGCTAACTCATATGAGAAGAACAGAGGAAAGGAGCATTAGGCCAAGTGATAATAATCACTTCTGTAGGCCTCTCTCCTTTTATGTTGATATGTGTATTTAGTTTATGATATTGTCAATTAGGATAATATATTCTTAATCCACTTGCACTATAGGTTTTGTGTAGGATGGAAAGGTATTTTGGGCTCTTGAGAATGTGTTTTGATGCTTGTATTATATTAATGGGTCAAAATATTTGTGTAAGTAAAAATAGTTATTATCATGCTTCCATATAAGTTTAATTGAATGATATGACTTCTTAAAATATTTTAAAGACTTGGGATCCCTTTATATTAAATAGTTTAAAAAAATACATATTAAGAATTCATTGAGGTTAATCTCATATTGGATAATCCATTTGGGTTAGTCTTTAATTAACCATGGTTAGTATAATGATTAAGTCTTAATTTAGGACACCCTTTACATCACTTCAGTATTTATAAATATCCCTCTCCATTGCTTACATGGGACATCCAAAAAGAGATTAATCAATTGAAACTTATTGTCTTTATTCTTTGAGTGCGCCAAAAATAAAGTTAAATTATTATTTTATAAAAATTATTATTGTCTTGGCTTAAGTTTTGGTAGAATAAATCATATTCAAAGGTCTTTATTATATCCTGAAAAAAATTTGCTACCAACCCAACTTACATCCAAATATTTAAATAGGCGTGGGCAAATTAAGTCTGAAGAAAAGCATTGCACGTGTCTTGAAAATGACATGCACAACTTTTTTTTTATCTTTACTTTTATTCTTTAGAGAGCCATCCATGCCAATATATTTTAGTTTCTTACATTTTTTTTATCATCATTAATATTAAAGTCAATTTATATTTAATGTTATTTAAATATTATATTTTTATTGAACATGTATCTAATTTATTTAAGAATTTTTCGATTATATACAAGAAGTACTAAATCTTTCCTTTTCTATTACAACTAACTTAGAAGACAAAATGCTGTCAACAAGGAATGGAGGATCTATTTTGATTCTTTTCTTTCTTTCCGACCTGGACATATGCCATCACTAATTTCCCTTTTCCATTTATCAATCATGGTATTGGACGCGTGTTTGGACCTTAAAGAACAAAGAAAAAACCTTGTTATGTAACTTTTCCTTTTTTTCTTTTTATCATATATATAAATTGATCTATTTTCATTAAAAAAAATGGTGGTCCCTTCATTTTTCAAGAATTTGTTCGACATTATGGTTTATGCATGACACAAGGTATTGAATATAAGAATAAATAAAGTAAGGAAAAGGAAAAGGAAATCAAAATTTTTAGTCTCTTAAATTTTTTTTAATTATCAATTTAGTAAAAAATTAATTTTTATCGATTTTGTCTTTTATATTTTCTTAAATTATCATATTAGTTCCTCAAATTTTTTAAACATAAATTGCATTACACTAGCAAATTTTTACCCAAATTTTGGCTTGCAAAATGTTTACACAATCTTTAATTTTACAAATGTTGATTCAAATAAGCTCAAAATCTAGTCCCAACAAAGCTGATTTGAAAAAGTAACAGGCATGTTTGGTCTACATATTTAACAAAAGGTTTGTTATTGTAACGTATTTTATGTTTGATTTTTTTTTTAAATAAGTCAGTTTAACATAATTTGTGTTCAGATACTTTTAGTTCACCGTGATTTATGTTTTAATAAATAAATACAAAAAGTCAAAAGTGAAAAAAAGTTTCGACTTCTATCCTAGACTTATCTTCGAGCTAAAAGCCATTTTCTCGCAACTTTTATATAAATAATACAAGATGTTCTTGGATCCATAGTTCCAAACAGATTTTTGAGACCCAAACGTCAATTTTTTATGTTGGAAAAAATGTGAATTCAAAACCAAACATCTCTTTAAGTCTCATGTGACTCCTTATCTGTTTGGGATGACCTTGGTCTCCTCAAGAATCAAGACTCGTGTTCATATTACAAATAAAAATAATAATTGTAAATACCAGTTTAGATAATTATAAATAAAAATGTTTAGAAATTGAAGATTATATTTAGAATTTAAATTTTTTTACAATTAAAATTTTTAAATTAACATTTAACTTTTTCCTTTATGAAAAATCTAACTCTCATTCTTCTTCCTAGTAACTGACTGTTAAGTTGGATAGTCGGCCCCAACCAAAACCTATTAATTCTTAGAGAAATCTTATGGCCAAGTACTATCTACTAATTGTTTTTGAAAAAAAAAATCAAAGAAAAGGAAATGATATTTAAATTTCAAAAATACATTTAATTACAGTTTAAGATTTAAAAAATTTTACCGAAAAATATATTACAAATATTAAATCAGACAATTATAAATATAAAAATATTAATTATAAATTATTACGAGTAAGTATCCTATAAGCTTCAAATGCTTGATTTGCAAGATTGATCCTCATATTCGCAATTAACTGAAATGACATTGGCAACTTATCCTTTATAGAAAATTTTTTAGAGCTTAAACTGCCATTAAATTGATGTCTGGAGTCTGGAGACTTGGATCTCACTGAAAAGAGTGCTAATTACTAATTACTATTATTAAAATTAAAATTAAATTTCTAACTTGCGGTTGCGGGCAGAAAATAAGATTTCTACAAATCCATCTGATTTGTTCTTCAACTTGCCTGCTCGTCGACCACCGCAACGGGGACTTGCATGTTGCCGGATCCATCTGCCGGATCCCGAGCTCCGGCGACTTCTCCTCCTTCACTCCTCCTATTAGAATTGGAATTGGATTTTGAATTTGTGGGTTTCTCAAGCAGCGAATGGCGACAGTTGGGGCAAGAAGAATGTGACAGAAGCCATGTGTCTATGCAACTAACATGGAACCCGTGATTGCATTTTGGCAGCATTCGCACCTTATCTCCTTTCTCGAACTCCCCGAGGCATATCGGGCACTCCGTCGCCGGAATATTCGCCGCGGGCCCGTAAACTTTCACCGGAATCTGACTCAGATGACGTTTCTTCAGGCCCGTTGAGACAAGCCTAGCAGTTGTTTGTTCTGTGGTCCCCGTGGAAAATCTTCGGCCACAACGCAACACGCATCGCACTATCGAGTTCAATCCAAGCGCGCATATTAATGCGCACAACAGAGCCGCCAATATGATCACCATGTTCGCGTCGAAGTTTACATCGCCCACGAACGATTCGCGGGTCTTATTCCCATATGCCGGAGACACACTTAGCCCGGCGTCCAGAAGACGTCGATGCATATTCACCGCCCACAGGTTTTCCTTTTCTGGTGTATCTTGAACCGAAGAAGGATTTTGAAGGTTTTGCTTGCTTGTGTCTTAACTTTGAAGCACAGAACGGTATTGCCTTCTGCTTCTTGGATAACAACTGGTTTTTGGGTTGAAGCAAAATTTGAAGCACCCACTGCTAAGAATTTCGATGGGTTTTACTGATTTCCGAGTCACTGCTATTGTGGGCTTGTGGCAGATTCTGTGATGGGTGGAAGCAAAACTTGTAGCACCCGCAGGTAAGGATTGATCTGATGCGTTTTCTTGAGTCTGAACTTTGAAATCCTGGAACAATACCAGTTTCAGCTTCTAGACTAGAAACTGATTTTCGAGTCAGATTTTCCGTTCGGTGGAGGCAAAATCTGCTAAGGATTTCTCTGATGGGTATTCTTGTGTGAACTTTGAAATCCAGGAATGGTATTGCTCTGAGCCTCTCAAGTAGAAACTGATTTTCTGAGTCGCTACTGTGTGGCTGTGAAGATTCCGGCCTGGAAAGGGACACAGAACAAGGTGAGATTGAGAAGCATCTTTGATCTTTTTAGTTTTCTACTTTCTTGTCTACGGGGATAAGGGAAAGAAGTGGGTTGGGGTGGGGGGAGAAAGTGGTGAAATTGGTTCTGTGGGTATGCTGTTATCCAAACTGGGGACCGTTCTGTTCTGCTGTTTGATTCCCAGCTTCAACCTGATCAGAAATGGTCCTGTCTAGCTTGCAAGCTAGGCTGCTTGATTGAGCCAGACTGCGAGTGAAGATTTAGAGATTTTGCTCTGATGTATGTATGTATGTATGTATGTGTAACAGGTGGGTATTGTTCATAAACAGGGTCGAGTCTGGTCTTACGGCGTGGCACCATACGAGTCCAGACATAAATCACAAAAGCAAATGGTTCGATTCAGGTATTAATTAAAGAAATGTAGTTCTAGATCATGACCAAGAGTTAATCTATACACAAATATAGATAATATAAAAATTTTGTCAAGCAATATTATTTATGGATTATAAATAAAATGATTTATTTATTAAACTTCATATAATACCCTAGACTTCATGTATGTAAATTGGGTTTGCCACGTTATGCGACGTATTAGCAAAAGGGACAAGCTTATTGCTCTTGGCAAAACGTCATTTGGCAAAGACAACAGTCAAAAGGTGCTCCAAAACATATACTCTCACTGGTTTAAATTGCAAGATATTTTTAATTATATTTTTCACACTAATGAAATTTTGTTTTTTTTATTCTCATAAAAAATATTATGTCTTTTCTTTGCTACCCATCCATGTAACAAATGGAATTGCGAAGAGATTACGGTGAGCATGGCGTTAAAATTCAACCTGGACTGATGAGCCAGACCAATGGACTAGTGAACCAATTCACAGATGGGTTATGGCTAAAAGTTTTGGACAGGTTGGTGGGGTTAAATTTTATTTTTGCCCCCTCTCCTTACTGATCCTGAGATGACATTGTTTGAAGTTAAAGTATAAAACTGTAAGTAACCCTATTTTGTTGGATTGTTTTTCAAACAGAATTAACTACCAAATGTAATTTAACAAAAATATTGATTTAAATAAGGGCCATTTTGGTTGCTAGAAAGGATGATGGTAGAATGAATTAAAAAAATCAAAACAAAAATAAATTAGATTATCCTTATTTTCATAATAAGTATGATAAAATTTAATATTATATACAACAAATGTGTGAATTACCTCTTTTCACAAATTTCATGACTCTTAATTTTATAAACTAAATCACCTTTTCTCTCATTATCATAATTGACCTATCAAAATAATCTTAGTCTTTATAATTTTATTTTTTAAATATAAAAACTATTTCAAATAGCTAAAATTATAGAATTAAATTATATTGAGTCAAAATTCAAGAATTAAATTATATCGAGCCAAAACTCTAAAAGGATTTAACTACAATTAAGTTAAAACTGCACAGTTCAAATAATTAATTTTTCCTAACTTATATTATTTAAATCATGATTAGATTGATCTCCAGTTCAATTATAACATGACTATTGCCTCTACTAATTCAATGACAAGTTCAAATTTTGATAATGATAAATATAAAATATTTCACATACTATAAAATAAACCTACATTAATAAATACAAGGGTAAAAGTATAAAAATAATTTTTAAAAATATTAAATGTCTTATATTTTTGATTAAATTTAGTTGAAAAAAATGCATTTCTATTTGCTGGAGTAATCAATAGCTTGGAGATGAGATTAATAATTACAAAATTTGGGAATCCTGATCAGCTTGCATCAAAATCAAATACATGTGGCAATCCAAAATCCAAAATGACTGTTACATGTAACTGTCAGTGAGTGAAGTGTGTTGGTTGGCACGTTCTCATTAGGCCTTGATTTTTCTGGCTGCTTTCTTTTTGACGTGGGAGGATGTATACGTGGCACATATATATCAAAAGGCGAGAGAGCATAAATGAAAGAAAGAAAAAGCAAAACAAAATATCAACCCCACTCAGATACCTTCCTTTCACTGTTTGCGTCAGGCGGCGTACCGTTCCTAGCACACTGATATTTTTCAGCCTCTTTTCCTAGATTCCTTCTTATAATCATTAGTCTTATTAATAGTTTTATGAAATTTTACTTTTAATTATTTTAATTTATTTTTAATATTTTTAGTTTTTGTAATCTCTGTCATTGAATATTGTTAGAAATTTAAAAAACAAACATTACTCAATCTTGTAAATTAAAAACACTAAAAATTATTAAAAGTAAAATCTAAAAAAACCATAAAGACTAATTATTGTGTTTTTCTTTTTTTTTTTAATAAAATCACGTTTAGAATAATTTTCTTATTTCAAATCATGTTCGAGAGCAATAGTTTCTTTGTGGTGGGTCTTTTGAAATCATAATAATATATATATATATATATATATAGAGAGAGAGAGAGAGAGAGAGAGAGAGAGAGAGAGAGAGGGAGACTAACGGTTAAATCTTAAAAGATTGAATTAATAACAGCACGGATGAATCTAGAAACAATTCTATGAGAGCCACAATGGAAAATCACATCATAATAGTGGGGCTGAAATTAATTTTAAGATTTTTTTTTCAAATAAAAACAAGCATTATTTTTTTAAAAAATTGTCACATTAGGGGCAAGCATCCCTCCTTGCCCCACATAAATCTGTCCTTGAATAATAGTTACATTCCAACAATTTTTTTTAAAATAAATTATAAATATTAATTTAAATAATCATAAAAAAATTTTATTACAATTTAAGAGTTAAATTTAATATTTAAATATTTATTTATAGTTAAAATGCCTATATTTATATCTGAATTGATATTTTTAACTTATTTTTAAGAAATTTATTGAGAACTTAACTATCATTAATTAATTTAATTTTTTAGACCTAGTTGTGATTTTTCATGCATGTGTATATATATACTCCTCCTATCTTTTTTATTAACAAAAATAAGGAATGCAGAAGTGCTGGAAAGTGGGAGAAAAATAAGTAATAAAACTATATTTAAAAAGAAAAGAAAAAGAAAACAAGGCAAAGAACACTTCCTTACATAATGTAATGAAGATTCTAAACTACATGATGCCATTCTTATAGGGTCCAATACATTACTATATTATTTATATTTCATCTAATAAAATTATATTGATTCAATCAAATAAAATATTATTATTATTATTTTTAATAATTTTATTTTATAATAAAATGTATATTCAATTTTTTATCTTTTCTCTCTCTATAATCATTAATGAAAAAATTAATTTATATTTAATGGCATTTGAATGTCATGATTTTATTTGATGGAGCATATTTCCTCCGTTTTTATTTATAGGAGAAACTATCACTTAATTACCTTTCATATTTTTATCATTCATAATCATAAAAAATAATTCATAAAGATTTGATTAACACAATTAATAAAAGGTATCGTAGTTTAATTTTTTTATTCTTAAATACAATTAATGTAATTAATCAATTTTCTTAAATTATGTGATACTTCATCTATTAAAAAATATAAAGTATTTTTAACTGAATTTCATCCCTTAATAAAGTAGTTACTTACTTTTAAATTAATCTTATTTTTTCATATTTATCCATATTAAATACCTTATAATAAATATAAAGTCACTATTAATAGGGATATTTTTATAAAAAATATAATGATTACATTAAAAATATTTTATATTTTTTAATATTTAATTTTTTAAAAAATACTTTATATTTTTAAGAGGAGGGAGCATAATTTTTTTCTCTTATAGATGAAAACAGGGGGAGTAGCTGATGTGCTGCACTAGCTTCATGCAATAATTTCTTCCACATAATGCGGATCCATTGGTTCTAAACTTCTAATGGGTCCACATCATGCAATCATGTATAGCATAATAAACCCAATTTAAAATATTGATTTTGCAAAAGTGGAGGGATTTATGGATACACGGTTTAAAAAATTAGAATCAAACCCCTTGCGTTGCACGGATGATGATTAGTTAAGATAAAATCAGTAATTTTAGATAAAATGTTTAAAATTAATAGCTCGACATTAGACATACGAACATAAATGGAGAGAGAAATAAAAATTCATTTAAGAGATAATTAGACTCTTATTTTAAATTTTAAATTATAATCAAACCCCGGGCAACGCGTAAATGTGATTAAAAATTTATTTAAAAGAAATAATTGTGAAAATGATTTAAATTATGACATGAATAATAAGTCGTTTGTCATCACACATTCATAAGAAGATAAACCTTATGCATGATAATAATATTTTAAAATATTGTAAAAAATTTCGTCATTTAAAGATTTAAACATCATTTACAAAAAAATGGACATAATGCTATTGAATAATTTGACATGTCATTTATTTAATTGATCAAATTAAAATATTAAGTAGTACAATGTCGTGAAATGTTGTAGATTCTTTTTAATCATGTATTTTCGAGGACAAAGGTGTTACTGAATAATAAGTTTTAAAAGGAAAATATGGAACTTCTTTACATTAAATTGGTTATAATATTAGATTTTTTTTTCAAGAGATATATTTTAAAAAAATTACAGATAATCTTTAAGATGTTCGTTGAAGTCATAAAAATATGGGAAAATAAAATAAAGTCCCAAAACTGATTAAAAAAAAAAAGAAGCTCAAAAGTCAAGATTTATTATAGTTAAGTCTCTGAGAAAAATTTTCAAAAATAAGTTACAAATATTAATTCAAATAGTTACAAATATGAATCAAATTTACAATGAAATATTACATTTTAAATTTATATGTCTTATTTGTTGTTAAAATTTTTGAATTTATGATTATTTGAATCAATATTTATAATTAATTGTTCCAAAAACTCAGTCAAGGACTTACTTGTCATAAATTCTAACTTTTGGGACTTTAATGTTATTCTCCCACAAAAATGTAGTATTTTACAATTGATAATGCAAATGAATTATGTATATTCATAATTTAAATTATATAAAAATTTTGATATAATGTCAATGAATAAATATAACAGTTTAATTCTACATTGCATGGAAGGTTTGACATGTATCAAATCTTTCTATGTAAATAAAATATTGATAGAGCCACGTTAAATGCCCTTCTCATATGGAAAAATTACATATATGGCATGAAAAATTTATAACTTTACACCTTTTATTTTTAGCATTTTAAACCTTTTATAATTAATAAAAAATATTTGGCTTCAAATTTAAATTCTATGCGAACCTTCTCAATATCTTTTTAACTGAAAAAGTCTCAATATATTTTTTCTTAGATAAAAATATATAATTTTACTTATGCTA